TATTGAGTGTTTTATACTACTTTGAAACAATGGTACAGAATTCTGAAAGCTGTGCCTTCTTCCTGTGTGACAAATTGGTGTTAGAATATTAAATATTTTACAACTATGTGTAAGATTTTCATTTCACTTCATTCCAATATTTCTATGCCCACATGAATTACAGGCCATAATCTTTTTAATAAACAGTAATTCATTTGTTATTCCTGGAGTTATTTTTGATTCACTTGATGTAAAAGAATGCCAGCAACATGTGTCAAAGTAAGTAATGGCAATGAAATAAATTCCAGCATATGTAGACTGAAGTGAGGCTTTTGTCTGCTGATTCAAATTGCCACAACTCTAATAATTTCTTAGGTTCGTTACATTAATAGCTAATGATCGTTAACAAAACTGAATGCTGGTTTTATGAAGCATTTGACTAATCAGCTGATTTGATAATGCAAAACATGAAAGACTACTGTGCTTACTGACCCACGTTCACTCAGAGAGGTGTGTCTGTGTTATATTTCACATGTAGGAGGGAAAAAGCACAGAGATGGACACAATCCCTTCATTTGAGAGCTTAACCTGAAAAAAATACATTTGTCTTATGTTCACAGCAGTGCTTTGAGAGTCTAAAAAGCTTTGGATACAGCAACCAAGCAGAAGTATCTGTTTCAGAAAGGCATCAAGTTGTGCATTTATCCTATTTTAGCTCAGTAAAATAGAAAGAATTGGTACAAAGCCATAGGCTCCCACTTCCAGTGAATACAAACAGTGCATTTTTAGAAGCTGCAATAACTCCTAAACTGGGCGTTTGGTGAGAAGCAGCAGCAATAATCCTAAGAGTATTGACAGAAAAAGGGAGTTACCATTTTATGTTAGGTTTCAGGGAATTATATGTTCCCCCTATGACTGCTGCATCAAATTCTTATCCTTACACAATGAAATAAACTATGCTCTGTATTACAACTGATCTATTGAGCTCTTTCTTTACTCCAGTATAATTAAGGAATCTGTTACTCACAGTAATCCTGAAGATTTATCCACTGTAAAAAACGGTTCTTTCTTCAGGATTTGTGACCACTGTCTTTTACTAATTACATACCTGTTGTTAGAGAGCTGCCTCTCCTTCTAAACAGAAGCCATGCATGCTTTGTTCTGCAGGTCGTTGCATTTGCCACATCATGAAAAATGAACGTGAGTGTGTGGGAGTGCATTTGTTATGCAACATACTTAACAGATCACTAATAGCTGATTCAGGTTTTCTTTAGCATCATCCATACAAAAACAATGGAAATAACCCTTCAAGAAGAACAGTCAGTAATCCATTTCTAGCTGTGATCTCTTCCCTAGGAAGAAGCCAAGCATCCAAACCATGCTGTGCAGTGTCTCTGGAGGGACCAATAGGTTGGTGCTGGGTTGTCACAAAGGCTGAGACTTGAAGTACTCTGAAAACTGGCAGTCTTATACCAACACATGAGAGCTATGGATTCCCAGTAGGTGTTCTGAAACCTGTGTCCTACTGTGTTCTTACAGAGCTGGGCTCTGTTGACTGTCAGACACTTGTAAAAAATAGGAAGAAAGAGCTGAAACAGAGCATTTAAATTTTTCTCTGGCTTTTAGTTTAAGAAATAATCTTTTTTATAGCAAAACATTGATTTCATTAATAGTACATTCTTACATTAAACATATTTCTAATACAAGAATAGATTCCAAAGCATGTAAAGTAAAAGGAAAATCATGCGGTGGCCTGAGGCAAAGTGAATGTGTGGCTGGGGTTGGAGTCCAGCAGAACTCAAACATTATAGGATCCATATTAAAGAAGCACACACAACAGAAAAACAAAATCATCTCCAAAGCAGCCAAGAGGAGCAGGGAGAGTGAACAAACAAGCAAAAACTAGAAGTGCTTTGTGTAACATAGCACAACTTGATCTCTATTACATTAGTTATGGTTCAACCATTTTTTCCGTGTGAGGAATCATTGTGGATGCCCTAGGTGTTAAAACAAGTTTGGTAGTAAGTAAATAAAGGACCAGTAAAGATGAATTAACAAGAAAGAAAAAGTGAGGAGAAAGATAAAGATGACGATAGAACGCTTTCGGCAGAGTTTTCCACTTTGCTGAGCCTAGACAAAGTGACAGCCCTGGCTGGAAGCTAAAACTCAAGTGTTCAGAGGAATGGAGAAGTAGAGCTCACTTCTATATTTTGCTGGGTTGAAAAGTGTCACTTTTCATTTTGCTTTTATAGTTGCTGGAGACCATTACTGCTCACCCCATATTGGCTTTCTCTGCCCTGGAGAAAGTAAATGACATCTGAGAATGCAGTAACCGTGTGCTTTATCGGCCCATTACATGCTATCCTACAGAACTACTGCAGGCTTGTCTGCAGCGCTTTAGCTTTACATCAGCTGGGTGAATCAGTGTACCAGGGACAGATACTTTTGTTTGTATAAATCTCAAAGACTTTCCAATAGAGAAGCAAGAACACAATGTCTGCTCTGACAAGTCCGGAGGAAACCGCAATCATCACAGCAGACCTCACAGGAACTCTGCCTCCTGGAAGAGAGAAGGGGTGATGGGCAGAAGCATTGGGATACGTGTAGGTGGTACAGATGCTGGACAAACCTTTTTCTGGCAGGAGGTGTGCACACACTGTGTGGCAGTTCAAAACATCTGTGTGCTGTAGGGAGTGAAGATGGTGCAGGAAGGGAGAATCTTTTTGTCACGACCCTGAGAGGAGAGAAAAGGGCACTCCAAAGGCAAACTACATCTTTTTGATTATGGAATGTAGATGAACCCACTGAGACTGTAGAGGAGGAGATGCCTTTGGATGTGACAGCCACTTTTATTTTTCCTCGTAATGAATACTCAAGCACTCCTGTGGAAGAGGGAAGGAGGTAGCACCCAGCTATGCTGGTGGAACGGTCAGAAGCAAAGGGTAATTAATTCTGTCATGGTGCAAAAGAGAGCAAGAGAAAATAAGCATAGGTGTTGCCTGTAGTTCAATGACTGGATGATACTGGGGTTGTAAAGTCAGATTATAGGATCGATGCACAAACACAACCTGCTGCTCTGCAGCTGCCTGTAATTAAGGAGCTGGCAATTGTCCCTGATAATAGCACACTATTATAATTGAGGGAAAAGGCTGGAATAAGATCTAGTGTTCTATATCTTGATCCGGCAGACTCATGTAGGTTCTTACCCTTCCATATTGTGAACAGTGCGACTGAAAAATGAGCACATAAAATAAAGGCCATTAATAAGTCTCTGCAGGATCAGAGCGAAGGTTTGTATTTTAAATCCCATGTTACACCAGGAATGTGGCTTCATGAAAAAGATGTAAGAATAAAATAGCCTGCAAAGCATATTTCTAACATTTTTTTTTTTTATCTATACAAGCTGAGTTATTCATTAACATTGCTGCTATTCCTCAACAGCATCAGAGATTAACACAATTGCTGCAGCAAAGGGCTGCAAATGCTATGGAGAAGTAAAATGTTTACATACATAAATCCAAACTAAATTTGATTGCCTTTGTGCAGCATCTTCATACTCATATTGGTATATCTGACATCATCAAGTGGTAAAGGGAAGATGCTAATTCCCTGGGTTATTTCCAGGTGAATGTATCAATGGTGTGAAAAGTCAAGATAAAAGCAAGAGAGAAAGGAGAAGGAGCATGCATTATAAATAGCAGTGCAGGTCTGGCCCTTCATCCAGTCCATGGGAAGACATTTATTATCGATACAACAACAGATGCAGAGAAAAGGAAAGGTGGGCTGGTTTTCTTATCCCCACAACAAAGGTAAAAATGGATCCCTCCCACAGTGCTCTTACATGAGTGTTTTCAGTGCCTCAAACAGGCTGTCCTTCTGTTACCTCCACGTGGATGCAGAGCAGGACATTTCAGACGTTAGCTTTCTATTCAGGTAACGAATGACTGTGACATAAGAGATGCAGCAAAAATAGAAACCAGAAACATTCAATGGATCGTTTTTTAGAGTTGATAAACTCAGAGAGTCTGAAGGAAAAGTGAATTTCATGCCCTGGAGTGCCCGAGCTCCGCCCACCAGCATGAATCGGAACAAGAAGCCCAAAGTCTGTGCCTGCAGTTGTTCCCATACCACAGGCAAAGTAATGCAAATACCAGCACCCCTCTCTCTTCCTCTTCCCCTGCTGTGGTCACTCCCCACAGTACCGAATGGGGATGGCAGCCGTGCTGCGCTCTGCTATTTCAAAGACTCCATTACTTTTGCAGAATATGTTGCAGCGCATTTACCAATGCACTGTGAAGTGTTATAAATAATTAAAACTAAACCATTCGTGTCAGAAATAAATGAACAAAGCCCATTGTGCAGTGCAGCATCCCTGATTTATTTTTACAGCGTTCATTTGGAGCATTTGTTAATTCACAAAAGCCAACAGTCCACACACGCTGGCTCCGCACCACGTTAGTGAGGTTATGTCTTCTCTTCAGCTTCTGAAAAGAACAGATCTCTTTGGATCGATACAAAGCATACAGAATACCAACTGCTTCTTGGTTCCCCATTGTGTGCTTTCCAAGCGTGTGCTGTTCTGTGTGCCCCTTTTTAAGAGCCCAATCTGCATTCTGTATTTGCACTGGGGTACGATATGCAGAATCACGTTCTAATCAGAAATAATTTTAATACAGCAGTGTCTAATATGCACACCTTGAGAATGCCATTCTCTTGGCTGCTCCCTGACTTCCAGTGTGTCTGTTCTGAGCATCATAAATAACACAAATTCTTTTCAAAGGTTCTCTTTCACAGAGTGGAGACTTCTTTAGGGGTATAGGTTATAACAGCAGTGACCAGATACTCTTACATTATTGCTTTTGCTATTGTCCTTACCTGTATCATTGATAGATTTTGCAAGATGGTTGTTAACAAACACAGGAGAGAATAAATAAGCAGATTGCCTCCAAACTGTTGTGTAATATATAAATACATAATTATAATATATAAATACATAATGTTGTGTAATATATAAATCCAAAGAACTACTGCTTTCTCAGTTAATTCCGTTCTAAAAAACATTCTGGATGAAAGCATACTCAAACCTGCAGCAAAATGCTCATGCTAAACACCAAAACAATTCTTCAAAATTAGCAAGCTCATAATGAGGTTTGTTTAGACTACCTTAGAACCAATCTACAAGTACCTGCAGCAGAATAAAATCCAGGAATAATGGTGGACCATTCCAGTCCCATTTGATTCATTGAACAGCTGGGTTTCTCTTTACAGCTGTGGCTCTGACAGCAGTGAATCCCACAGCAGAGTGCTCACTGGGCTTCCCGTGCTGGAAAAATGCCTAAGAAAGTTGGAAAGCACAAACATGGGTGAGAATCACAAGGAAGCACAGTGGTCATCTCTCTGAAGTGTCTTTTCTTACAGTCCTGCCAAAAAATTTTCAAACTCTCTGCATGAATCCTTAATACATATGACTAAATTAATTCATACTATTCCAATATTAATTATCCTCCAAAATTCTGCAGCTACTACACAGTTATCTCTGGTAAAATTTTTCAGGCTTATTGATTGTGTGTCAATATTTTAATTGCAAGCGATTTCAGAGAGGGAATATTTTAAATCTTTTCTAAGGTTTTTATGAGCTTCCCTGGGCTAATTTTTCTTGCCATTTAAAGAAATATATTCTGAGAGGCTTAAATGGATGTGAACAAATAGTAGAGCAGAGGCTTTGCTCCTATTTGTATTGTATACTACTCTACATTTCTCTATCTGCTTTACATGCTCACTGTTCCCATATTTACTATACTGAAATTGCAGAGATTTGTGTGCCATGGCCTTTCTACCAGTTGTTTTACTCATGAAATTGTGGTGTATCCTTCCTTATGTTTCAAGTGAACCACCACAGTTAGTGGATTTAACCTTGCCACTTCATCACATCAAAAACACCAATTAAAATGAATGGAGTGCAGAATTAGCTGTCATACCTTCTAATTCTGCAAACAACTCGCTGCCATGCGTGCTGTTTCACAGCACAAATAGCTCCTTGATAGCTGGGCAAATGGCCAATTCTAGCTGCACTGCTCCCTAGAGCGGATGTGCTGACCTACAACCCGCAAAGCGTGCTTCATTGGGATCTCTGAGAAGGGCTGATTTCTTTGAGAAAAATGTATTCCTTGCTGACGTGGGTACATACGTTCCACAGCAAGTGGGGCTTTTCTGCTCTTCAATGCAAGGAGAGCCAAAGCAACGAGTATTTAGTGGGACAGGAGAGAGATCATCCTCACTTCATTCATTGTGAGAACTTCTGCATAGCGTCTCTTGTGAAAGTCTCTGTGGAAAAGGAGCTGAGCTGACTAGAACAAGGAATGTCTGCACCCTCACCTCCACAGGACCTGATTTAGCTCCCTCACATGCCAGAAATACATTTTCCCTGCATGCATTCGCTAAACATGGAGCCTGGCTTCTCCCAGAAGGTGCTATCAAGGCCTGAACTTATGCACATAATTATTATTCCACTCCAACCATCTTTATGCATGACCTGGATTTATTTTATTTTCCTAAGCCATTATTTAATACAATAGGCAGTGCAGAAACTAAGAAACTAATACAATCACTTTCTGCTGTGTGCTGCATGCTTATCTGGCTGAAAATGCAAAAATGTCAGAATGCATGAAGTATATCAGAAGTGTCATTAGGCCTTCTTGGCATGCAGAACAGCACCAGAGAAGGCTTTATTTAAAACATATATTTACTCTGAACGATGCTGCTCCTGCTATATCTTCAGATCTCAGCCATTAGTTTTTCACAAAATCTCATGCTGATTTTTAGATATTTATAAATAATGTACCCAAGAATGAACAAGACTCAGGTCTAGACTGAGATATGAGTATGCACAACAGCTTCAACCAGATGGAGATGCTTGAGTCTTCACACAGATGTGAAGAGTTCAGGTGCCTTCCAGTTCTTACCAGGAAGGGAGCCCTCACACCTATTTTGAGCTGACAAATGCTGTAGAGACTGAGATGTTACACTTCTCGAAGGACTCATTTCCTCAGGTTTACCCTCAGTTTTAGCTCTGAAAGGCCCTTTTATTTGGTATCTCTCACTTTCTGCCTTGTATACAATTTTCATCAGAGAGGAGCAGATCTAATGTGGTCACCTGCATTTCTATACATGTCAGCTCTGTCAGGGACTGGAGTCTAATTCTGGACCCAGGGAGACACGTTAACATTACTGTGCCCCCTGAGCTACAGAACCAGGTCTGCCAGCAGACAGCACACATCTCACGCCAGGACTGACACATTTACTGTAAGCACAGCCCCAGCTAGCTAGAGGGTTATCTCCAGAACTAGGACCACAAACAGGAGCAACTGGAGCTGGAGGACTGGTGACCCAGCGCTAAGGATGCAGGAGACACAGACCGCTGAGTTGCACTGAGACTTTTCAATCTCTTTTAAATTCAAGAATGCCATAGCTGCCAAAGCAAGGGGCAGCTCTGTGTTAAAACAATCACCATAACAATGCCGACTCTTCATTATTGAGGGAACACTGTTTAAATCACTATTTTTCTATTAAAACATTTACAAAAAAAATCCATTAAGTAATCTGCATTTCACAAATGATAGTGACCGAGGTCTTCTGGTGCTACAAGCATATCTTGCTTCAGGGCCATGGGCTCTTAAGAACCGTCAGTTTACAGCAAATGAACATTTATCTGATTTTTTTATTTTATTTTATTGTATTTCTGTAATGGTGCTTGAAATTAACATTTTACTCAGTGTTTTCACTCTTTTTTGATCATTAATGTAGTAAATTACGCTGGCAAAATGAGTACAACAGTTTCATCTGTGTCCTGAAAACCTATTAACATTTTAAGTGTCTCAATACAAATTGTGCAGCGTTTTGAGGTTGATTGTCTAATGTCTAAGGTCAAATTTAAGCCTATTGACCTGAGCCACACTGACTTTCCCACTGAAATATTCGCAAGAAAATTCCTATCAAATTAAAAGCACAAAGCAAAGGAGGAAAAAGCAGCCGAACCACATCATTACATGAACAAAGCTAAAGTAACCTACAGCCAAGCCTGAGCATTTCAGTGACATCCTCATACGTTGAAGTATTTGACAAACTGCTGGGTGTGCTTTATCTTGCTCTAATGCATTGCAATCTGGGTATCACTGTTCTTATGTTAACAAAGAGGGCTTTAAGCAGGTACAACTAAATGTAGACTTAATTTATCTCACCCAGTAAAGAATCCTTGAGAAAAATCAATTTCCATTTCCAAAAGGTACCCTGGCAGGTTGGAAACCCCTCTGCTGCAGCGTCACACTTCTTACATCCAGGTTGGTGACATACAGTCACATGGTCCCCGTGGTTATACTGCTTTTGGAGAACTGTGGTAGAACATCATGAACATAACTTAAGCTAGCAAAAGCTGTGAAAGTCAAAGTTAGTGCTGACCACTGGCAGGTTTAGTTGCACACCCAGTGATCAACACATTTTTTTTTTATTTCTGCCATTGTATGACCAAGAAAACGAGTATTTAGACTCAACCCTTACAGCTATTTAGTTATTACCAACCATGTGTAAGGTGCTAAGGACAAAGTGGTTTCACACTGCTATTTTATTTAATCAAAAATGCCCACAAGAGCATGAACTTCTTTTTCCTGGTATGTTGTTAATTTCCTAACCAAATGACACCATTTAAATGTCTGTAGGGGGGTAACCTAATGTTGAACCACTGGAAAATTTATGATCTACTGCCTTGTAAAGTACGTGATCTCAAAATGTGCACTTCATCCTCAGAGGGAGCTAGGAATCAATGTATTCTAGTGGTTTGAGCAAATTTATTTGCTCACATATCTTTCTGTAGCCTGATAAATGGTAACAACTTACTCACAGTAGCACAGAGAAATAAAAAGCACAGCATTAGCAGGAAAACAGTACCAAATTACATCAAAAAAATCTTCACTTTAATACCATGGTGTAGAATGAATGCTAGCTAGTGGGACTGGTTATCAATTATATGGAAAACCTGAAAGGGTCACGTTGGGTTCTTCTACTAATAAGCTGCATAACCAGTCACACTTGCCTGGATCCTAGGAGTGACACACATCACCTCAACATATTTAGATACAGCTGTACCTGTGTGACCCATTACCCCACAGGTTTCATCTCACACTTCCCTAATATCCATACTGTACTTCAAGGAGTACAGTTTCGTGTGGTTTTGTTTCTTTTTAGATTGCAGCCGCAGAACCATGAAAAAAAATTCATAACCACCATTGTTCTCAAAGTGCACGTTTGAATCTATAGATACCAAACAATTCAGCTCTATTAAGACATTGTTTAAATGGCCCATTATTTCCAAAGTAATCTAACCCTTTTTCAGATTGAGTCTTAATTTCAATCAGAATGTTATACTAAATATAAATGACTGTATGCATAATAACAGACTGTGAATTACAGAGCTCCAGTAAAAAAAAAAAGCAATGGGAGAGAAATTCCAATGGACTGTGTAACCAGCAGAGCCCAAAGCATAACCTGGAGCTCTCTGTAGCCTGAGGCCTGCTTTGTGTTTCAGACAAAATATTCATACATGTTCCAGGGTCTTTGTCTCTTCCACACAGACATTCTACTTCCTTTGCCCCTACCTCTGTGCTAACTCCTGCTGAAGCCAATATTGCAATCAAGCATCCTTCTCAAAGCGATCCTGGTGCCTCCTCCTGACTGGTAATCCCTCTGAATACTCTCACTAACAACTCAATGTTGAAAAAAAAAGTCATAGCAGCACTGTGTTTCGCCTCTCTATATCCAAAACACCCAAGTTGTTGTCATGCAGCATTTCCCACATTGGTAAAGTGTTACACCAACTGTAGTGTAAAAGGGTTCCCTGGGATGAAGAACTACAACCCAAATACATGCTGGTTGGGAGAAAAACCTTGTTCTCTGCTGTTCAGTTTCCAGATTTTTAGTGTGACAAAACTAGTTACTCTTCCTTCTCAGTGCCATACCTTGGACATATTCAGACCTGCTGATCTTCACTGCTTCTGGCTCCTCTTCAAGCATTTCTGGAGATTCTGAGCTTCTTCTATGTGATATTTTGCAGTCACTGAGAACAACTTCAGTATGAATGATGATCCAGGTGTACAGTGAGATATGGAGGAATTCAGAGGGTTTTTTTCTGGAACAAATACACAAAATAGTAATGACTATTGCTCCATTCTGCAAATTAACACAGGAAAGCCAGGGCTGTAAATCTAACTGCTACATAACATAGGCCAAGAAAGTCACAGCTGAAGTTGCCCTTGCATTCTACATTCATGTGAATGTGCTGTATCGTCTGTCATCCACAGTACTACAGATTTCAAAGGCCTATAAGGAATCAGATTCCCGGGTTCCACTGACATTTTCAAGATAGCTCTGTAATTCCTTTAGAAAATGTTGAAAATGATCATTTACTGTTTAGTCATACAATCCTTCTGGCTCAAGAATAGATGGTGTTTATTGTAATGTTTGAGCAAATATAATCAAGTCCTCAATTTTGAGAGTTTTCTTAAATTGAATTTATTTTAGTGGGAAGTAGGTTTGTAATGAATCTCTGGTCTGATGACATGCAATGTTTACTTTTAAAATAATATATGAAAGCAGAAGAGAAAAGCATCTCAATATCGAAGTATGTTCCTTTTCTGAATTTCAGAAGGACTCTGAATTGTAAAGAAAGAGGAAGCCAGAAATTTGTGTTCCTTAAGAACGCAAATAATTAGCTGAGGCAGAACAAAGGAAGACAAGATACTGCAAGAGTGGGAGTAAAGTTTTCTCTTAGCTATTCATAGAAGTAATATATAGACTACACAACAGAAATGTTTGCATACAGTGTAAACAGTTTTCATTTGCAAAAGCAAAGTGACTGAAATCTGGAAAAAGAAGCCACAGTTAAGACAGCTATGGAAACCATTCCACTCCATGTGGAATTTATCAATCTATCTATCTATCTATCTATCTATCTATCTATCTATCTATGTGACAGGAGGGATTCCATTTTTGTAACCTGGACCCCCGTTAAGTAACTGGGATTGGAAAATAGAGGGCAATTAGTTCCTAACTCTCCAGTTGCACTTTTTTTTCTTTTACAAGGTCTTATCCTCAGCTACTCAGGGATTTGCAAGGATGAGGTATCCCCCTTATACCATATCCCTATATCCCAAATCAGACTAAGAGTAAATTCCAACAAGCCATTAATTCCATGCGAATCAATAAAAACCAAACAAACAAAAATAAGCCTGAGAGGCCAAGCACATAAGATCTGAATTTCCAAGCACTTGTCTGATTTATAGACTCTCTCTACCAATTCTACACCCAAAGCCTGTTTATCAGCCCTCTAGAAGTGCATTGGGAATGCCACACAGCCACTGCTCTTCATCCTTGTCTTTGTCACCATTTCCCCTCTTCTACATCCCAACACTACAGAAAAGGCAACTATTCCACTATTAAATATTACTGTAGGCATTTTTACTCACTGAGTGTTATGTACATGATGTTTGTATACATGTGTCTTTAAAAACACAGTTGTTGCCTTCATGTATTGTTCTTTCATAAGCTATAGCTCGTTAAAGCTTATAAGCCAAACATGCACAACATGCATGGCTACAGCTCTTAAATTCAAAGCAAACAAACTGTAGGGTGACTGTGTGCGTGCATGCATGAAAGCAAACTGCAAAGAGAAAAGCATTTTTATAGCACGCTAGGTGGGAGGGCTGGCTGTGCTACAGGGCAGGACAAATGATGCTGTACCATTACTACACAGACCTGCAGAATGGTTCAGTAATGCAGCAATGCTATGACCAGAAGTAACAATTCCAGGAATACAGTTGCACCAAACTACAAGTTAAAATGAACATGCAGAGGTAGCAAAGTGCTGACTTCTTTCTCAACATAGCAGATTAGTAAGAAATTTCTCTGAATAGTTTTGGGAGGTCTGGCCTTCTTGTGAGCAGAGCATTGGAACTGTATTTTTGCAACATCTGGGTGGTTTTTAGCATCTGTGGAGCAACGCTACACCATATGCCACAGAAATATATTGCTGACATAAAACTTTCCATGCTGAAAGAAAGAAACAACACACATACATTTCCACAAGCACAAATGCAGATGCTCAGACCGGGCAGATTTTAACTCAATTCTATGCAGGCAGCTCCTGCTCTGCTGGCACTGTCACAGAGCTGCTGCAGCATTGGTTCTGCAGCTCATCTGTATGGCCCCCAGTGCCTAAGCCCCAGATCCTCCACACACACACTGAACACCAATGGGATTTAACCTCTTAGAAAGAACAGACAAAATTAAGCCCTGCTCTCAATCGGCTGACTGAAGAACACTCACAACAGAAATAGAGCTGCTTCTGCACATGTAACATCTTTCTCCACAATATCCATTAAAATGGCCACTGTAGATCCCAAAGAAAAAAGGTTGCCACATTTATTGGTGCCTCTGTAGTGCTAAAGAATTTCTCAGGGGGTTATCAAAATAATTATCACAGTGTTGAGTAATGAAGCTCATACAGCACAAGTGATTTTCTCCCTAATATCTGGGTCTCTGAGATCTTACATCCTCAGAGAAAGAATATCCAGTGCTCTCAGCCACACCATTCTGTAACACAGCACTCATTTTATGATCATTACTATTGATTAGAAAGTTGCTTTGTGGTGGAGAGCATTTTTTTTCTTTTTTAAGCACAGGTGCTGCTTAATCCATAGCAAACCAGGTGTCCTGGTGGCCACATGTAGGGAGAAGAGCACAGAGAAAAAGTTTCAGATGCAAAAGGTGCAAAAGTTTAAAGGGGCATTTAACTAAAATGCAGGGGGTGGGATAAGAACTCATTGCATGAATTTTCCTCTGGCTGCCATCCCAGGTTGTGCAAATATTAGCTGTGTAAACTGGAACAATGGCTCAACTGTCTGAAAGGATGACAAGTGACAGCAAAGAACTGGGTCAGGATCACTCACTATTTGCATACTAATTAGTTAATAATCTCCCACTTATCACGCAAATAAAGCAAAAGGTAGCATTTCTCACATCTAGAATGAAAACCTACAGATGTTTTTCATACAGTGGCTTATATAATATTTTTAGAAAATGCATTTAGTCTTCAGGAGCTCTGACATCCTGACATGAAACTTATTTAAGTCCCAGATTTATCAACTTTGCAAATGTATCTTAAGCAATACCACTAAGGTTTCTGGTAAACCAATATGCTGAATGATACATTTCATTCTGGAGCATGCACTCCTCTTTCAGTCCTGAAATGCTGCTTCTTAGTTCCTACATTTCTCGATGTATTTAGGGACCAACAGATGTAGCTTGCCTCTTTTTCAAGCCATATGTCCTTTGTCAATACAACAACATCTGAACTTCTGGCACTCTATGGATTCCCTCTTCTGTCATCATTAAAACAGTTTGCATTCCACCCTGTTTCTGTGCGTGGCAGATTTATGATAGAAATTACAAGAACCATTCATCTTTCTCAAGTTCATTGTACACTTCACTGCTGGACCATTACCTTCCTTTAGAGAGGCCACTTGCAGGAAGGAAATTTAAGAGCAAAGCAAAGCAGCTGGATGGAAACTTTTACCGTCTGGACACTGTTTTTGTCTTTACTTTTTCTCCTTTGTTCAAGCTGTGCCCCCTTAGCTGCAACATCACTAATTATTTCCAATGAGGGTGGAAGTCTCAGTGAGACTATGAATGGTGACTTTCTACATGTATTTCTTTCAGTATTTTAATACTACAAAAGAAACAGTTCTGAATGTTTTAAGAGCTTGAAACTAGTAGCTGTAAGCTGATTGTAAATAAAAATCTTAATCCCTATCAGTGACAAGCAATGAAAAGTTGTTTGTATGCATCTGTTTACATTTGCCACCATCATATTCTCCAAATACAGATTCTTATTTCCAGAAGAATTTGAAATCATAAAACAACTTTCATGCTAACTAATCCTTTCCAATTCCTCCATCGTGCAACTGCAGCACAAATCATTTCCTGTCATGCACAAACATCCACCAAGATCCATGACATTTTAAATATTCTGGATTCCATATAGGCAGAGCACTTAATTCTCATATCAGAATGCAGATAAATGAGAACCTGTGCACAATCATATCTGAAAGGAATTTCAGATGATATAAAGCCTCAAATGAAAAGCTCTGGCCAAATTCAGGAATAACAATAATTCAAGCTTCTCTCTCCAGACAGAAATGGAAACTCCAAGTCAGAGTCATGCACGTAATATTAACATAATAACATCAGTCTTTGTTTGTTATCTTTTCTAAAGTAGCATTAGACTCACATCCAGGAGTGACCCCACTGCCTGGATAGTGTATGGCCATACAATACTAAGTAGATTAATACTAAGCCTGAGGAAAACTAAAGGAATTCTGGCATAAAGTGTGGGGTGGAGAACATCCTTCAGCACATATTTCACATTATGGGTGGCCGCCTTTGCTGGATTTGAAAAAAGTCTTGAGACTTTTCTCTTCCCAGTGAAAATGGAAGCTCCAGTGCATGATCCAAGAAAAGCTGTGCAGTCAGGTATTTTTGAGAATGCAACTCAATGCAGTAATGTAACCCACACAAGTAGCACAGTGTTCCTGGGGACAACACTCTGCTAATGCCCTAAGAGGAACGATGCAAAAACCTCATTGGTTTCCAGTTGACAAAATATTTACAGAACTTCGTTTCTAAACGTTTTATTGCATTCTCCCTGCTTCACTCCTTATAAATTAAAAGATGTGCATTCAGTTGTAGTTTGGGCTCCACAAACAATTTCATGGCGTGCCCTGCCAAACCCGTAGCCCAAGTGTGCCACCTAATGGCCCAGGAGTCAAGAAGACATTAACACTACCACTTAGCAAACAAAAGCTAAAGCAAGCATAGCTTCATTTGTTGAGACGGAGAGGATTTATTATTGCTTTTCTGACGGACCTACCCACTGCATTTCACTAGTACCTCTGAAGGTCAGATGAAATAATTACTTTAAGACAGCTCAGACCTTTTAGATAAACAGGAATTTGAATGTAACTACGAGGTTAAAGCTATGCAGAATTACTTCATAATTGGAAAGGTTACAAGCTGCCCCAAAACTTTCATTCCCTGGTTGACTCTGTTTACTCCTTCTTTCACTGCTAAATGGCTGCATTGTCACAAATGAAATGAGCAAGTAGCGTGTGGCAGCAATGTGTCCTGCTAAATATGCACATTATTTGTTCACTTTTGAAGTATTTACACAGAGCAAGATCGCTGTATAGTCTCTCATTTGCTTAACACTGCAGTCCTGTTGTCAAGATAGACACATGCTTTATGAAGCTTCACAGAAAAAAAAAATCAACACGTGCATAGAGGAGTTCTGGAGCAACATGAGCAATGGTGGTACGTATGAAATCAAAGCATATCTTACATGAATAATTAAAATCGAAGTAGCATATACTAAAGAACATAGCTGTGAAACAAAGTTCTTAAAAATACCGTCCATCAAAAATGCTATAAAAGAAAAAAGGAAAAGTACAAATGCAGCTTAATTCACATAGCACTTATTAGTAGCAAAGACAGCTACTTCATAATCATTCACAAAAGTAAACATTAACCTATAGCCCCTGCACTGTTTTTGTTAAGGGGAAGAGTTACTTATTTGGTACATACACAGGAAACCAAC